GCCACTTGCTCCTCGAGGTAGGATATCCGGTGAGTGAGGCGAAGGTTGTCGCTCCTGAAGCTGTCGCGCGTCCTCTCGGCCTCGCCGGCTTTTTCCCGGAAGGAGTTGAGCTCCTCGCGGAGGTTGAACATGAGCTGCTCGGACGTCTGCGAGAGCCGCCGGTTCCGCAGGAGGACGATTTGGGCCGGTTTCGGCGACACGGCCAATAAGAGGTTCATGTCTTCTTTGCTCTTCATGCCCATCACAACCTTTCCGTTGATTTCCAGTAATCTGAAAACATTTCACCCATAAAGGTTATTGGAATTTGTTCACATCTCTGTTTTCAAAACAAATGATTTGGACTGCATTTTGCGATTGGGAACTACAATTTCTAGCTCATCCGTAAAAACGCTCATATGCATGGGGAAACTAATGGCTCGTACGTCCTTCTTGAACTGAGCAAGATATTGTTCCAAATTGCAAGATGCAGTCCATTTAATCTTACTTCTAGTTTCGCAAAATGTATGTGACGCAATTGTCCAATTGAGGTAGTAAAATTGAGGCAAATTGTGAGGCAACTGTTTTCGTAAAATAAAGCCTCATTTGTCGAGAAACTATTGGGAATTGTTTGGGTCGTGAACAGACTGCGTTGAGCAGAAAGGAAACAAGCAACATCGGCTATTGTCAAATTTGATTGGGATATTCAATTTTTTCCATGAAAACGATTGTACAGATTTTTGTGCAAGTTTCGCTGAATTTTCTGTGTAGTACGAAGCAAATTCCTTAAAAATGTCACAAAAATCCGTACAAGCGTTCTCTTGTAAAAAATTAAATCGCTCAGTTGAATTTGACAATAAGTGATGTGGCTTGGCTCCTTTCTGCTAAACGCAGCCCATATGAACGAAAAAGCCCATGGCTCATTAGTATTAAAGCGTTCTGAATAAAAATTTTCTTTGCAGAATTGAATTAAGAAATCTGCCAACTCTCTGTAAAGCAAAAAATCCTGCTATACCAGAAACGTTGATTCCTGTTCGGTAAACACTGTCGACGTTTAAGTGCTCATTAATCGCGAAATTGTGTTGATAATCAAAGCCCTACTTCGTAGAATTCATCACAGAAGGAGCAAACCTACGACCAATATGTAAAAATCAATTTAAAATGGCCAAAAATTTCTAGCACGAGGGTTTTAGCAAATATGCTCATCTATCCTTTAGTTAACATGCCAGCAATAACAATTCGTTGCCGCCCATTTCATTTTCGCTATGAAAGTAATGTTGAAAATGTTGAGTAAATCGCTATTTCAGCAATATTCTGATTTGTTTGCCTCCTCCCAAATACTTAGGCGATAAACTAGACAAAGATAGTATAAATTTTGCAAAAGGGAACTAACTCAACTAGTTCATCAATAAAAGCAATTATGTGCATAAGGGGAAAAATTGCAAATACATTTTTCCTAAACTACGCCACAAATCGTAATTCCTGATTGCAAAATGTAGTCCATCTATAAAATCAATTTTTAAATCCACCATCCACAGACTAATGTCGTCAGTGAACACTTTAGAGGACATCACGAAAACTAGGCTTGGCATCGCAGCGCTAGAACGACAAAGCGCCTTAAATTGACAGCATATACGTTTGCGGAGACGGCGAAGTTAATTATGTTGCCTATCGGGCGCGGCGCTTGGCATTCGCGATCGAACAGTTTACTTACCGGTCGCCTTTCATGAGGTCCGAATCTTCCGTGGCCCATTCGACGTAGAGCCCTGGAAAATGATCCCTGGAGCCTGCTCCAAATCTCGGACTTTTTGGGTCAAAATTTATTTCGACTGCGTGAATACTGATTTGCTTATTCTGCTGCACATAACTGAAACATTCAAGTAAAACATTCTTTTTTATTTTAAGTCGTTTAAAACGAAAGAGAACAGTAATCACCATGACTGCTAATGGAGAAAACCCGGCGCGATAGATTAAATTTACAATTTTTTTTTATAAATTTAAGCATGAGATAAATTTCCCTGTCCATTGCATCATCAGATGCGTCAATTCGAACTGAAAAAACAAGTTCGATTATACGAATCGAAAATTTCTTTACACAAATAAATCAATCAATCGAATAAACAAACAATCAATCAATTTCGATGTTCATCAGGTGTTTCATACTCAATCAATTTGATACATCGAATATCGACGGTGTAAGTCGGTAATCACATAACTAGTTTGCGGTGTCTGAAAATCTCCGCCTCTATGTTATTTTTTTAAAGGAGAACAAATTGAAGTCATTCCATGAAGTTTTTGCAAAATTTTCTTCGCACAGAGAAGAAAAATCATGGCAGTTTTAATGAATTGCCGTTGAGTAGTTTTCCGTTTAAAAAATAAAGTATGACAGGAAGCCTAAACCGAGTTATGTGATTGCCGACTTACACCGTCGATATTTTATTCAGAGGGCATAAACTTCTTTTGGAGCAGGATCGGCATTTGATAATCACCCTGCCAATCAAAGAGACTCGACGATTGAAACATAACCGGCCCGTGAAGTATTATGAATGAGTAGTATATTATGTTATCTCACGGTGTATTCTCAAAGCTTAGAACCTGTTAAGGAGTTAATTACTGGTTTTGATCGAAGCGAATGAAAGTCGACAAAATTAATGAATCAATACGCCGAACGGAGAAAACGATAGACTAGGAGACTTAAACGATCGTTTAGGAAGGCGGCGATGACGCGAGCTAAACCACGTTGAGACGTTTACTCTCACTTTTTGTTCCACACATACGATCGAGGGCTGAAGGCTGTATCAATTTCCATGAATGGAAGTTTTCAACCGACTTTTACAGCTCTTTATACCTTCTTGAATCTGCGAGTGAATCATTCACTGGATGCAAAATAAATCATTCAGATAATTCAATTCGCTCAGATATGCCCGATGACGATTTAAATTTCATTGCCTTTTTTGCAACGAATAGGTATACACTTTAGTGAACTTGACTAAGCTATGCTTGCGCCAAAGAAAAGAAAAGAAAAGAAAAGAAAGAAAGTAGCAGCGAAAGCGAAGAAGAGCGTAAATCTAAATGCGGCGCGGCGGTGCGTATCTTCAAGCATATTAAAGGACAACTAACCTAATAGTTTTAATCGAAGTTAGTTGCGATTTTTTATTCTTGAATTGAAAAATATTCAAGCAAATTGAAAAAAGATAGGTTAATTATTTTCTTCTCAAAAATATATTGCGTTTGGAGGCTTTTAAACGTTGCAAAAGGAAAGGAGGCGGCGTTTGGCAGGATGATTCACCGAATAATGTTTTTTGAAGAGGATTGAAGACGGAGAAACGGACCTGTTGGTGTGCTTTGTACTTTACTCTGTGTTTAATTAGACGGCCAAATAGCCTTTGATAATGCCAGCATCAACTCCAAGTCAAAAATGTACATTTGTTCAGTAAAACCACCAAAAATGTCTGATATGATAAATATATTCAAGAAATTTAATAGCTGTTATCAGAATTAATTTTTTATGCCAGTTTACAGCACGTGCAGTGGTTTGGGGGTGTGTTCTAAGTTCAATCAAGTGTGAGAACCCGCAATTTTTGCGGTCGGTTCACAGATCATAATCAGGCATTCACAAAAATATACGATCACTAAAGAAATGCGGCGGTGGTCAACCCGGAGGTGGAGAAAGAAAGACAAGACTGCCGTGTGAAGGAAAAACGGTGTATGGACACTCAAATATTGCCAAAAATTCACTGAAAAAAAGTGTCACAATCTCAACTATACTCTTGGCTGAATTTGGCGCCAGATGGAAGAGTAGTTGCGCCAGTCAGAGGTACGGTTGAGTCTGCTGAAAGTGCGGTTAGATCAATCATAATATACCTCCGGCTATAGTGTATTTTTATAACTGGCGCCAAAATCAGTCAGGAGTATAGATGGGAAAGTGATAATTTTATTTCGGTGTTCCACTGTAAAAAAATAATTTTCAAAGAAAGTTATGAATATTTGCCCTCAAACTCCTTCATACCTACTCGATACCACAGTGTAAGTAAATTCCCGAAGGGAATTGGAAGAAATCATAGATTTCCCAATGAATTCGTATTTTATCAAACAAAATTTGGAATTTTCTAAACAGGAGTATACGTCCATTTTCTAGGAAGTTTTAAGGCTACGCAGGACTACTAGCGTTACAGAATTCATGGAAAATGGATCTGTTCCGTCTTAGAAATATCCCACACTGGAAAAAAAAACATATTGGATCTAGAGTCCAGACTATTGAAAACATTGACAAGAAAAAGGTTTCTTGATTCAATCAGATTTAAGCTTAAATTAAAAGGAAATCCGGTCAAATTAAGAGGCTTGGTTCTTGATTTAAGCTTAAATCTGATTGATCAAGAGTATTTTTTCTTGTCGATGTTTTTAAGAGTCTGGACTCTAGATCCACACTGAGAAAAAACTATGGTTTATAAACCTATTAGAGGTAAATATGGAACACCTATAATAGTCGTAAATAAACTAATGATTCTCGGTCTGTGAACCATACTAAGGTCTCTGTACCTAATTAAGGTACCCCGTACCATAACTAAGGTATATGTGCTATTATTATATGTAGAGGTACTACTATTAGTGGTGTTCCATATTTACCTCTAATAGGTTTATAAGCCATAGTTTTTTCTCAGTGCAATGTGCTTTTTTTCCAGTGCATTTATTTGGAAACGCTGTAAGACTCATACGACGTTTCCCCCTGCAAAAAGGCAAACTGCTGAAATTTTAGGTTAAGCGCGTGCTCGTGATGGCCGATGAGACCAGGAGGAGTACAGGAGAGGATGGGCAGCGGCGGCAATTTGGCTCGGTCACAAGACATGAAGCTCACAAGCGACAAGCGGCTTGGGGCGATTCGAAGACGCGCGAGTGAAAAATGGTGCAGCCTTAAGCCCGTTGAGTTTCTGTCATTTGAATAAAATCTTCGCTCGTTTGACGTAAGGCCGTAATTTCATTTTCACGTGAGCGCTGAAAAACAGAGGCTCATATGAAGAGGAAAGTTCATCTCTGAGTGAGGCAATGTCTTTCCGACGGATGATAGGACCGTCAAAATGAGTCGATAAATAAAACCGCTTTGACGCGCACTGGGGCACGTATAAACGCGATGCTGCCATGGTGCACCGGAATCTTTACGTCACCGAATTTTTCCGTGGGGTATACTGTCATGCTAAGGAATACCGCCATATAAACTTTCAGGCGTTATCAAACTTCCCTCGATAAAATGTGAATTTGCTGGAAAATTTATGAGTATTTTTCTCCCGATTTTTCACGGAATTTCAATCGCAATTCAATCTATAGTATCTAAAAATTTTAAACAAAGATATTTATAGCTCTAATTAAAACTTGATATTGTGTCGGAGGAAGTTTGACAACTTTCAGATGTTCATGCGACGTTCCTCCTTTGCACTGCAGTATACCTGAATCCCACTTCCGTAGCTCAAGTGAAAACAACGGATGCCTTATGTTGACCCGAGACTTGCCGAGACTTTGCCGATGGAATTAAGTTCATACCTACATGAGTTGCTCGAACCAAAAAAACCCATACGTGCAGAAACTTTTGACCTAGATGGGGACTCATTAGAAACTGAATATGAACAAGAAAAATAGGACGAAAAGAAAGACGAATAAGAGAAAAATATGGGGAGGAAGGAGAAGAACAAGAAGGAAAGTAAGAAGTGGAGGAGGGAGAGGAAAGTTGGAGAAAGAAGAATAGAAAACGGAGAGAGATGTAGAGGAAAAAGAGGAGGAGGAGGAAGACGTTTTCCACCTCAACTTTCATTATCCTTCAGGTTATTTTCTAAAGAGTAGTAGTACCTCGAAGTTGAGACTTCAAAGGGGCTTATCTGAAATCTCAACTAGCATTGATGGTCACATTGGAGGGCTGTTTAAGGTATTGCTGAATGCTGAGCCTCTTCAACGGAGAGGCAAGGAGAAACGGCAAAAAATAAGAATAATTCTTGAATTTGGTAAGACTAAATTTTAGGGTCCTACCACCTCAAAAAGGCAACCATGTAGACATTTTCTCAAAATCAAGATAGACCCGGTGAACACTACATAGCAGCTGTGGTGGTTGCATGATTTCAGTAAAATTAATTTACTTTCTGCAGAAGATAAGAGTTGATGAAGGGAAATATCCAAGCAGGTAAGACTTCAAGAATGCGTACATTCTTGCAAAATTCTTTGCCTCATACCGCAGCTTCAATGGGGAAAATGCGGTTTTACAAACATAGTCTGGAGACCGTGTTGGTTGGTTGGCAGGTTGGGTCACGCGAAGCGAGACATCATATCAGATGACATCACAGACGACTGTAGTTGGACTGCCGGGCCGTGGCCGGCCTGTATGAGGCGTGCGTGGAAATTGGAGCCAGTTCGGACTTTCACTATCTACACGACAACTCCATCCAGCATCCTTGCAGCTTCCATGCTCCGAATGAATAATCAACCGGGACTCGAAATTGTAACAACGAGGACTTGAAGCCTCAAGAGGAGTTGGCGCTGACTCGGAATTCGTTGGCACCGCTGAGTGGTGCGGGCTATCTCGAAAGGTAGAGTCAACACTCAACAGTCATCGAGCTTTGACTGTGGTCGATGCTTGAGACAAAACACTCCTTATACAGACCCTGCATCATGGTCGATGAGACTTAGGATCGGTAGCTGACTTTCGTCAGCAACTGTATGCTCGACAATACTATCGTAGAACTCTGCCGTGGTACGGAAGAACGCCGTATGAGTCTTTGGACGTCAGAAAATATTTATTTTTGAAAAAAAAAAGCCGAATATTTTTTCCATAAAATTTTCTAAAATTTTAGATCAAATTATACGCAAAATTATCCGAAAAATCGG